ATTGAAACAACACTTATGTCATCATTTTCAGACTATGGATCTTGGGAAACTTCGATACTTCTTAGGAATCGAGGTGGCCCAATCTAAAGCTGGTGTTGTGATATCTTAGAGGAAATATGCTCTGGATATTCTTGAAGAAACTGCTCTGTTAAATTCAAAGTCTGTTGATACTCATATAGATCCAAGTATCAAGCTTCTACCAAATCAGGGGGAGCCCTTTTCAGATCCTGAGCAGTATAGAAGATTGGTTGGAAAACTGAACTACCTCACAGTCACTCGGCCTGATATTTCCTTTGCAGTTAGTGTTGTCAGTCAATTTCTCAATTCTCCATGTCAAGAACATTGGAATGCAGTCATTCGTATTCTTAAGTATATCAAGGCATCTCCAGGGAAAGGCCTTGAATATGAAGATAAAGGTCATGATAAAGTGGTTGGCTATTGTGATGCTGATTGGGCTGGTTGTCCAACTGATAGGAGATCTACTTCTGGGTATTGTGTCTTTGTTGGAGGCAACTTGATTTCCTGGAAAAGTAAGAAACAAAGCGTAGTTGCCAGATCAAGTGCTGAAGCAGAATACCGCTCCATGGCAACTACTACTTGCGAGCTCATCTGGCTTAAACAGCTTCTCAGAGAACTTAAGTTTGGAGACACTGGACAGGCAACTCTCATTTGTGATAATCAAGCAGCTCTACATATTTCATCAAATCCAGTGTTTCATGAAAGAACCAAGCATATAGAAATAGATTGCCACTTTGTTCGAGAAAAGGTTCTTGCTGGTGAAATTAAAACTAGCTTTGTACCCTCTAATGAGCAATTAGCATATGTGTTTACAAAATCTTTGAGGGGCCCTCGAATAGAGTTTATATGTAACAAGCTTGGTGCATATGACCTATACGCTCTAGCTTGAGGGGGAGTGTTTGAAATATATTGTAATTAGGGTTTCCTTATTTTGTAATTAGGATTTCCTTATTTTGTATTAGGTCAGATTACATTAGGTTTGGGCTTAGCCAATTAGTCTGTTTATATATTGTACAACCTTCATCAGTCAATACACACAGAAATATTTTAAATGTTCCTCTCTTTTCTTTTGTTATTTAACAGTGGGTTTCTGCGTATGAAAGATTTATTGTGGATGACCTCAAGCCACAATAAGGCGTCTCTTATCCTATAATCGTCAGAACCCAAACTCTGTGATTCAGTTCATATCAGTCTTCATCAGTTAAGTTTACACATTTCCTTCGTAATTACTTGGTAATAAGTTGTTGAAAAGAAATAAAAATTAAAAAAAAAACAGAGCTATTGTAAAAGAATAAAATCAAATAACAATACCCAAAACAAAACAAAAACATATAAAGAAGAGTTCGTGAGAATAATAGTATCAACATCCTTTTTTTTTTTTAAGAATAAAAGAAAGAAAAACGAGATAATTTTTTTCATCACTCAATATTACCTTATTTGTTACCTTCCTTGCACTTTCTTCTTTTCTTTTGATCTCTCTTTGCTTTCGGTTTCTCTCTTTCTTTTTCTCACTGTTTTCCTTCTTCTTCTTTTACGATTAGCAACATATATAGAGAGAGAGACGTGCTTTTGTTGTTTTGAATAATTATTGCAGTTAGTTAAATTTTAACAGAACTAAATGTATCTAGTTAGCTTCTAACTAATAATTACTTTTTGGATAATAATTAATCAACGTAAACATTTTTAGATAAATGTGGTAATCTTTTGTTGGGCCACGTATTCTACAAGCAACTTAACAAAATCTACGACTTTGAAGACTTAACGGGGTGCTTCCACGTATTTTGCTTACATAATGTTTTAGCTTTTAATCTTATTCCAGATTTATTATTATAAACATATTATATATTATATACATTTATTTATTTATTTTATTATTTAATTACTTATTTCATTATTATTATTATATATATCCATGCAACTAGCGCTCAGTGAGCGCTCAACTCAATTCCTCCAAAGTTGGCGCTAAAGGCGCTGCCTCTGTGCTAGCCTCCTTCAATTTTTATTTTTTTTTAAATTCAAATATTATATCTCTTATATCAAATGCCCTCTAAAATCTGTAAAGAGTCACTTTCAACTTCTACATTTCTCTTGCCATTATCCCAAGCATAAGTTAGATCATACAGCGCTGCCCAAAGTTCTGCTTGAAGAGATGAGCAGAAGCCAAGAAAAATGCTTGAAAAACTTTTAGGGGAGAATGACGTTGATGTAATTAAGATTCTTAACTTGGAAAACGATAAATACAGTCCATATGCACTGAATGTGGAAAACATATTGGAATGAAATAATATTTTTAAGTGAAAATTGAAATTAAATAATATAATAATGTAAAAAGAGAGAGTTTGTTTAAGAAAAAATCTTGGAAGAAATTATCTCACGTTGACATTGATATACTAAAATATGTCCAACCGATATTTATTTATTTTTTATTTTTTTTGGAGTTACCCAACCCTAATTATCTCTTTGAGACGAGTTGGCTCCCTCCGGTATTCCCACGAGCTTCGACTCTTTGAGCCGGCTATGGAACTAATCCGGAGTGCGGAGGAACAGTGATGGCTAAAGGTGAAGGAAAATATCCTAAACTAAGGGGAAATAGACCAATTTATCTAGAAATCAATATCAATAAATATTGTCAATATGAAAAAAAATATAAATTACAATCAATATCTAGTTATCTACGAATTAGTCTAATAAGGATAATAAGCAAAATACAGTGTCGAATTGATAAGGTAATGCTTGTAGGTGTCCCTAAATGAAATTAAGATTATTAATATAAAAATATAGATGCAATTAATATAAATTAAGTGTAAGGAAAATATCTTAAAAGAAAGAGAGAATTCATTGAGAAAAGTATTAGAAGGAATAATATATAAATAGAATAAGGAATAGTATTAAAGTTATTTGTTCCCGTATTTAATTCAGAGTAGAAGTCTAGTGTTAATGTAAATTACACCATTGAATCAGTATTTGTATCACATCGTATATAACATATTAATTTAATACTATATCATTCTGAATTTCTCTTTTTTTTTAATCCTTTTCCTCTTCCATACATAAATGCTATAATTTCAAGAGGCCAAAAGTAATTGAAATTAGTAATATCGAAATATAAATTTCATCAATATATACTAAATATAAAGAAAAAGACCCAAAATAAAAGAAAAAATAGGTTGAATATTTGACAACCAATATTCTTAATATAAATATTAATGCATCAAATATGCACTATATATGGGGAAAGATCCAATAACTAAAGAGAGAATTCACTAAGAAAACATTGATCAGCAAGGTGGGTGCTAGGCTGCTTAGCTGTAACTAGGGTGTAAATAGGTTGGGCTGGGCTAGGCTTCAGCTTAAATAAGCTAAACCTGTGTATAAAACATTGGGTATGGTCTGACCTATTAGCTTGTGTAGGCTCCAAATTACAAGTATGACATGACCTATATTTAAAAAATAAAAATTTTGGCCTAGGCCTGTTAGCCTATTAAACATTCAACACTTAAATGAATAACTAAAATAATATTATTTTATTATTCAAAATTATTAAATTTTATTTATTATATTTTAAATAAATAACATGATATAGGCCGGCTTGTAGGCTTATAGGCCGGCCTGTAGGCTTATAGGCCCGACATGTACGAAAAAAAACCTATAACATGTTTTCTAAATAGATATTTTAAAAGCCCATGCCTATTCTATTTTACTACTTATAATAAATCAAGTCTGACCTAATATAGACTAGACCGTAAGCTCCTGTAGGCTGGCTTAGTCCATTTACACCCCTAACTGTAACATCAAGAGGAAAATGTATAGTTATAGAGGGTGAGTCAAAGAATAAAAGTATTATTGTAGGAACAAAATTTAGGAGGAGGAAATTAGGGGATATGAGAAGAATTAAAGAGAGGCAGAGAGAAGTTAGATTAGGAATAAGGGGAAGGATAAAAGAGATAAGAGATAATTGGAAGGATGAGTGTAATTGTTGAATTCGTTAATTAATATTGTGATCGATGAACTATTTATTTATAATCACTTTCATTTTTTAGTAGATAAAACAAAGGGTTTGTTTTTTCTAAAGTTACTTTAGATAACTTTATCTAATGTTCATCGAAACGACGTTTTGGGATGGAAATCATGATTTTTTTGTAATTTTAATTTATTTCAGGGTTATAATAGTCTTTATCATTCTAATTTTTTAATTTTTCAACCCCAAAACAACGTCGTTTCGATGAACATTAGACAAAGTTGTCTAAAGTAACATCAGAAACTTTTTTTCCTAAAACAAATTATCTAATAACATAATTTGAAATAAAACATTTACTACTAGTAAGATAAGATAAACTAACCAATCAAGATAAAAATAAACTAAATATAATTTGAATCTTAGAGTTTAGTTACTACATTAGTCCCTGAATATGTTTTTTTTTTTGGTACAATCCCTGAATATTTTACAATTTACAACGTGTTTGGTTGAGGTTTTTTATTAGGATCCCCATCTTTCTGACTTTGGCAATCTATGTTAAAAATGGGTTGAAAGTCAGTTATTCCAGAGACCCATCCTAGAAAATCCACATTAGTGTTTAGAAGCCCTTATCTACTATTTCAATTTCAAATTAGCATCTAGAAGCCCTTATCTACTATTTCAGTTTCTGTTATTATCTTTAGCATTGTTATTTCAACTTAGATTAGAATTATTTTCTGCAATTTTGAATTATCTGAAGACAGGGAGATAAATTGTCCATTACCCTATTTATAGGACCGTTGGCAATGAATAAAGGGCACGCTGAGTTAAATTTCAATTCTTGCCCACAAATAACAGATATTTCAATTAGATTAAAGTTTAAATTGTTCGAGTAATTTAATATCATTTTAGACGTAAATTTTCCCATTGCATTTAGCTTTCTACTTAGACATCTACTTTTTGAAAGTTTTCTGGGTTCGGTTAAAATTGGGTTGCTATTCATTGAGAAGGTGAAGCAAAGGCAAGAACTAACATGACCATTTTCACAACAATGGGTAAATAAGAGTCATAAGCTACAGAATGACAAGTTTTAAATGCCATTGACAAGTTTAGCCAAAAGAAACTGAAACTGAAACTAAAATTCTTACTCTGAAAAATGACAAAATATCCGATAAGCTGAAGCACCATTACTCTGAAACTCATACAAAGTCCTAAGCATTTTCGACCATTTTCTTCAATTCCTCATTTTCTTTGCTGAGAATGTCCAAACGAGACTGCAGAATGTTGATCATGGCTTGAGCACTCATCATCTCAAACCTCATTGTCTCCTTTTCAACAGTAACCTTTTGCATCTCACTTTGCAACTGTTTGATGTACTTTGCACAGCTTGGAGGCACAGATGAGTCAAGATTATCAGCATCAAAATCTGGAGTAACACTTTCCTTATTTTCAAGAGATTCTTGCAGAGAAAACTCCACCAGTGCAGACAGAAAATGTTTTTTCGGCGCAGCGTTGGTAGTGGTTGTTGCTGCTGCTGCTGCTGTCGTCGGGAGTGTTGTTGCAGCAGTGGTTATTGTGGATGAGCATGGATCCTGGTTTGTTCGGATTGAATCTCCAGAAACATGAGAGTTGTTGGAGTTCAAGTTATTGCGCCTTCTTTTGTATATTTGAGAGAAAGGCTTTGGATTATTATCTGTTTGGGGTGAAGGATCCTCATCCGCATGCTTGCGATTACTATCCTTTTCAGGTGATGGGTACTCAGCCATTCTCTCCCTCTTGCACACAGCTAGAAGATTTTGAGTTTCTATAGGAAGCTTGTTCACATCAAATGGAACTTTATTGTTAGACTGAGTATCCTGAAAGAATAAAAACACAATTCTAATTTTAGGCCTTGTATGGGATTGAACAGAGGTAAAACTGTAGAGGCTAGAAAGCGAGAGGGGAAGGGAGAACAAAAGCAACTAAATAATAATTTCACTTCAAAAACAAAGACTGACAACTCAATCAACAAAGCAGAACCTTAATAATCAAACAAACTAGCCCTATTTTATATACAACTTGATAACTAAGTAGTCCTGACATAAACAGAAATATTATCTTATTGAGAATCCTAAACAACTAGGCTCCTAATGAATACAATCCATACAAATATGATATACTCTCATAACTGCTTCAAAATTTTACTTATCATCATTCAGGCATCAATAGTTCAGATTCAACATTAAACCTAATTTTTCCTCATTAATTAACATTCACTCGTCTCAAAGTAAGATGCGATAGGAACATCAACATGGATGGCTTCAGCGGTCTCATCTGTTGGGCTTTTTCACCCTTTTGCCCCTTATTAATTAATTAATAACTATTTTGTCCTTGATTCGAAACTATCCATCAATCTGCCCCTCTTTAATCGACTACCTTACATTTTTAATCGACTAAACGGTTGTTGGGAGATTTAATCGACTAAATCTCTCTACTTAATCGATTAAAATCATACTGACTTATTTTTTTTTTGTAAAATATGAAGATTTAGTCGACTAAATAGGGAGATTTAGTCGACTAAATCTCCCAGCAGCCATTTTTTGTCTGTTTTGGCCATTTAGTCGATTAAAAATGCAAAGTAGTCGACTAAAGAGGGACAGATTGATAAATAGTTTCGAATCAGGGGCAAAATGGTTATTAATTAATTAATAAGGGGTAAAAGGGTGAAAAAGCCCTCATCTGTTGCCAAAGTAAAATGAACACACTAATTATTGATTTTGAACATAGTTATCAATTGCGGATAATGGCTGGTAGCTGCCAAATCTAAAAATGCTATAACGATAAAGTGGGTAGCGGTATAGTCGCTACAATGTAAGTTCCATTATGTGATATAAAAATATAAAATATATAACTATTTAATATAAAATCATAATATATTTATTATTAATTTAATTTATAAAAAAAATTAGCAGAGAGAGAAATCAAAACAGATTTATCATATATTCATATTAATATATATAAATAAAACACATTGGACTATTGGGGAAGGAAACAGATGCATATGGTTTTTGGGCTTGACTTGCCACAAAATGAGTGAGACACGGATGGAACCATTCCTTCATGCAAACAAAGTAAGAGAGACTGAAAGAATTTGCTGTAAATCGAAATAGAATGAGTGAGAGATCAAGATTGTGCTATAGTTAGAGAGATTATGTTGTCGTAGGCTTGCCGGAAAATGGATGAGAAAGAAATATCAAAGTCGAAAAATGAGTTGAGAAGAGAGATGAAACAGAGCCACCATTACATATCAAGATTTGAAGTAAATAGATGTAAGGAATATAGGGTTCAAAAATAAAAAAAAGGATAATATCCATTCTACACTTAAAATTAAATTATTAGTCAATAATAATATCAACATCAACATCAACATCAACAACACCTTTATTCCAAATTAATTAGGGTCGGTGGTAGATGAACCCATACGAAAGATACAAAAAGGTTGAAAAAAAGAAACATAAAAGTAAAAACAAAAATAAATAAATAGAATAGTAATAATATATATATATATATATATATATATATATATATATATATATAAGTAAAAAAGAAAGGGAAAAGAAGAAGAGGGGGAAATGAAGGGGAAAAGGACTAAAAAGGGACCATCTGGAACATAGGAATAACAACGGGTCTAACCCTCCACCATGCTTATAGCTTTTCTCCATTCCGTTCTAAGGCATACCGTCCGCCAATCTATATCTCACTCCATTAAATCTTGTTTTACTACCTTCCCCCAAGTAAATTTTGGTCTACCTCTACCTTTTATTGTGTTGAGCTCTTGGTAACAAACTTTTGTTCTTACGGGAGCATCCAGGGGCCTTCTCATTACATGCCCAAACCACCTCAATCTATGTTCTCTCATCTTCTCAGCCACCGGTAGTACTCCTACCTTTCGTCGAATATCTTCATTTCTTATCTTATCCATCCTCGTATAACCACACATCCACCTTGACATCCTCATCTCTGCTACTCCCATTTTATGCTCATGTTGCCTATGTGCTGGCCAGCATTCAGCTCCATATAGAATTGCAGGTCTTACTGCTGTTTTATAGAATTTTTCTTTTAACTTAAGGGGGATTTTGCGGTCACGCAAAAACCCAGATGCACTGCACCATTTCAATAATAACCTTAACATAAAAAAATCTCTCCCCCCCCCATTGTAGCGTGGAAACCGTGCCGTTATGGCTGCAAAATGCTACTTCATATTGCGGCTACTATGGCCACAACTGTAAATTGTAGCATTGCATGCGTTTTGATATGGTTGAGCGCCGCTACCCACTACTGATGGGGTATAGCGCGCTATAGTACCGCTTTTTTCATCTATATTTTGAAGAGTGAAAGTTTGTTTGTTATGCCTTCCCTCCTTACATGGCGGAGCCAGCAAAAAAATGTTAGCCCGTGCCAAAAACCCACCCCCCAAAATTTTAGCTCGTGCTATCCATTTATCTATTTTGCATAGCTGCCAAATTCTAAAAAATTTGAAAACTAGCTAGTGGCTTGGCACTAGCTAGCCCCAATGTAGCTCCTCCACTGCCTCCTTAGGCAACCTGGTGTTATAAAGCTCCCACTCTATGCAGGGTCCAAAGAAGGGTCAAGCCCATTATGTGGATCTATAATAGATCACATGGCAACAACACCAATCATTGTGCCAAGGCTCCTCTTTCCTTGTTGCTTCGATTACCATAAAATCAAGAGTCGGCACAAATTGTACAAGTTGCATTGCAATAGTCAGACATTTCTATATAAAATACAGCATATATCTGCCAAAAGATATGTTACAATAGACTTAAGAATCATCTTTTAATATATTGTTAAAATCTGAAATCTTAAGAAACAGGAAAAACTACTAAGCCAAAAAATACAAATTTGATGAGTCAAGTTCCAAATCAGTGAATCAAAGAAGTTGGCAGATAAAAGAAGAACAATGTAGAAGCTTATTCTTCTACTAATTACATCAAGAACAGCATCAACAGTTTACAAAACCAGCAATTCTGAATTATCCAACAGATACAATGTAGTCATACAAAAGTGACTTCCCATTGAGGGGGAAAAGAAAAAGCAGAAAAATTTGAATATATCAGTGTGCATCATACCCTCAGAGAAAGGGGGAGGAAAAAGGATCTACCATAAATGTAAAAACATATGACAGGATCCCAAGAGAGGTCTGGTGGAAGGCTTTTGAGAGGAAAGGAACCATGTCGATTACATACATGAATTGAACTATCACGGATACGCACCATGAAGTAAGAACTAGTGTGGGAATATATGGTAAGGACATAGAGAATTGCCCCTGTAACTATATGTTTATACCAAGGATCAACTTTGAGCCTTTATCTTTTCTGGACGTACTTATTGAGCATATTCAGGAACCAATGCCTCAATGCATGCTCTTGGCAAATGATATAGTCTTAATGGAGAGTTGAAGGAAGGAATAAATTGTAAACTAATTGTAAACTAAGAGTTCTATAATGAAGCTTTGGAAACCCATGGTTTCTGGCTAAGTAAAAGTAAAACGAAGTATACTGAACGTAAGTTCAAGACATATGCTAGCATTGAAAGTGAAAATTGGAGATCATACTATACCATAAGTCACACGATTTAGACATCTTGGATCTACCATACAAAGTAACAGATATATAGAGGATACTTAATCATAGGATTCAAACTACGTAAATGAAATAGAGAAATGCTTCAAGTGTTATTTGTGATCAAAAGGTGCCCTTCATGCTCAAAGGGAAGTTTTACCAAACAAGCATAAGAATAGCTATGCTTTACTGTAAATGTTGGGTGGTGTTGAAATTATAGGGATCTAGGTAGAAAAGGCAGAAAAAAGAGAACAATAATAGAATTTAATATTTATATATGGTGTGTATTGATGTTATATAAAAAGACAAAGCATTAACCATTATTTATTAGTACTACGCTCCTAATCTTAGTCAAATCAAATCAAATAAGGAAACAAACAAGAAAATATAATGAATTCTAGTAACCGTTGTTAAAAGATCATCTAAGATACCATAAAATATTCCAAGTTATAATAAAGACATCTTGAGATATTTTCTAGATATTCTAACACTCCCCTTTAAGATCAAGGTAATCAAAATCGAGATCTTACCTGGTTACAGAAGGAAAGTGAAGGATCGTAAATCAAGTTATCGTAACACGGATCATAAATCACCTGGGGCAAGTCTTAGTTAAGAACCAGCAAGTTTGGAGCATTTTAAATGGCTTTTGTTTTCTTAACATGGAAGGATTCACATCAAGTGTCTTAAAATAATCCTCTGCTTCTGGAATGGGTTAGTAATTTTTTTTTTAAAATAAACAACTTTCAGCATGCAATAAGCTGCCACATATCCCAATACGTGTCGCTTCATTCTTACATCCTCATCTTCCCCTCTAAAAGGTACCCATCACAGCGTTCATTCTTAGCAAAACCACTATAGAGAAGAGAATGGAAAACTCTTACATCTTAAAATCTTCAATTAATATTGATGGCACTGGAATGGGTTTTGATGGGATATGCTGCAGCGCAGGTGAAGATGCCTTCATGGTCTTGCTCCTCCAGATCCAAGGCCTGGACTCACTCCACAAGTGGTTGATAGCGATGACGTGGAACTTGCTGAAGCCGTCAATGCCGTTCTGGATTTTCTTGCCGATGGACATCTGCGGGAAGTACAAGACTCAGCCATTTTGGGTTGCAGGACGAATAGGAACATAGGGTTTTTTAAGATTTGAGGTGTGGGTCACCAAGCTCGACCCGTTACAGCCATGGGTTGCCAAACTCGTGTCAATCACACGATCTCACCATTTTTACAAGCTTTCCCAGAAATCCCACCATGATCCCAACATTGAACGATCCACTGTGTGAACGGGATCGTGAAGCAACATGGAACTCGTCGGATTAACAAGTAAGATGAATTTTGACTACTTTGCTTAAGATAAAGCTTATTAAGTTTTAAGTTTTCACAAATAAGCATCCTAAAATAGATGTAACTTGATACCATTATCTTTGGGATGAGATACCTAGGGCTTTGCTCATTTGCCAATAATGAGAACATTGTCTATCCATGCAAGTTGCAAACTAATAATCAGTGGCATCCTTAATATGGATGGTTTTAAAACTTTCATTATGTTTCTCCCTCACAAGGAGCAATTTTTCCTCAAAAGTTCATTTCCTAGACACAACCTAACTCCCATATAGGCATACCTTCACAAAGAAACCGCAACAGTTTCTGAGAATGTAAGAGAGTTTGGTCAGAAAGGGAAAGAAAGTGAGATAAAAGAGATCAGAGAGAATGTGAGAGAAATCCATGGTGTTCATATATTCAGATCACTCACACACAGATACAGAGGCGCACTATTTATAGAGCGGAAGCCTGACTCAGATCTGGGTCAGATACTAACCAAATGCTAACTAACAGGCCTATAAACAGAAGCAAGGAAATAACCCGGTATATTTAGGACTACAGTAAGAACAATAAGCAGTAATACAAAGAACTAAATAAAGCATAAGCTATCTCTAATTGAATGCCAAAAAAACCCATGAAAGGTAAGGTCCTCTTGGACACAAACTCACAATAAGGACTCTTTGTGTTGGGTTTGGTGACCTCTAGAAAGGTTGCTCTTTGAACTTCTGCCATTATAAAACATTTTCAGATATTGGCTCCAATAGAGCCAAATTGATCTCGCTACTCATCTTCTATAGCCAATTTGAGGATTGAGGTCAACGTATCTTGACCATTTGTTGTTGGAACTTTGTAGCATCTTCTTTGTCAATGCATTGATGCCAGCACCGCGCCCAACTAAATGAATGGCCTTTTGACAAATGCTACGGCAATGTCTGGCTTTGCCTTAGGAAGGGACCAACCTTCAAGGCAAAGAGGAATGCCAGCAAACAGGGATTAGCTTCTACAAATGCACCCACAAATTCAAGATCTTTCATTTTGACCATTTTCAAGCAAAATGTCGATTTAATTTAAAATGAGTACTTGCTCGTTTCTCTCCCATCATCCCACCCTGGGTACCATACCCATAACGGTGCATTAGCAACTATAAAGTAAAAAGCATTACCAAATTCAACAACTTGCAGTTTGTATCATCAAATATTATCAAGCCCATTGCTAGTTGCCACAAACAATCATTAAAGTATACGATATAATCTAGGCACCAATTGGCCCTGGCCGTATGGTGTTTCCAGTGGGTTTTGTTTATTCCTGTCATCATTTTTGCTTTTTTTTATAAAAGAAAAAATTCATTCAGACCAAAAAAAAAATGCAATGAATTTGGGGGTTAAAGAATCCTACTTAACAAGGAAAGCACAAAATAATAAGAAAAAATAACAATAATAATCCAACAAAGCTTCCCAATCCCTCAGCAAAGTTATCACTTTTATTATTGATTGAAATACTATCGGATTTCCAATCATTTATTCCCATAAATATTCAATAGTCATGCACAAATTCAATGTAAAGTATCAATAAGTTGATTCCCAGATGAATCCACAAAATTAATCATTAACAACAAAGATTAAATAGACACCCAAAAATCTTGGAAAGAACAAACCTGTACAACATCATTTCTCCCTTCAATGCATAAAACACCACCATTGCCTTCAACGCATGGATGGTGGGCAACAGAACCGTCATCCACAGGCTCTGCCCTAGGAATCATTCCTGATGCATCATCCCACTCCTCTTCAATGAAGGGTGCATATCGTTGCCCATTTGGAGGTCCTATGTTATTTTTGTGAAATACTCTACACAAGACATAAGCATCCTTCTCCATCCAACAAGAAAAATGCACAAAAATGATTAACCAATTGTGATACAATAACAATGTCCATATTGTAATACATAGCAAATTATTGTTTCGACTTTTACTAAAGAACAAAGTTCAAACTCCTGCATCCAAGTGTCATACACAATTTTGAGTTTAGGAACCATATGAAACAACTAAGCTTCTTATTTTATCAACATCAAAATGAGAAGGGCCCTTAGTTGCGGCGGGATACAGCACAAAATCATACAGTTTAGGCTCATCTCACACTTCAATTTCTAAAATTAGTCTATAATCTCACCTGAGGCTGAGAGGATCCATTCCCAGCCCTCTCAAGCTCTTCCTCAACAAGCCTGTACTCATGCATGACCCAATTAGTCCTCTTACCATCTGGAGCTCGGCCACTATGAAACACCAATGTTTTCTTCAACCCCACAGTCCTTTGTTCATGCCTAACTGGGCGATCATTCCCAGTGGCTTTCCAGTACCCTTTGTTCGTAGCCCTGTTCATTCTCCCACCATTCCCATATTTCTTGTCCAATGCACTGAAAAAATACCATTCTTGGTCCCTGGTCTTCAACCTTGATTTATCTAAACAAACATTCAACCCAACACCATTAACATAAGCACACAACAAAAAATTCAAAAATAAAATAAAATAAAATAAGAAAAACTAAAAATTAAAGACCCATGAAATTTTAACCAGTAAAAAGAAAACCCATCACCAGAAAACCCCCATTGAGGTCACGAAGTTGAAAAAACCAAATAACCCCTCCAGCCCCCAAGAAAAAAAAAACAGCAAATTTTCAATTTTTACATGACAAAACAGCAAAAAGGTTGTAAATTTGAGGAAAAAGGGAGTAACCTGATAGTTCCCAGGGCTCGCTCCTGTATATATCAACCTCAGATATGGCATCAAATCGGAAGTTTTTCCCACAAACCTTGCGCTTTAGGTAATAAATAACAAGCTCCTCGTCAGTTGGGTGAAACCTGAACCCAGGAGCAAGTGAGGTAGGTGCTGCTGATGCTGATGCTGATGGTGATGATGCTGCCACTGGTGCTGGTAGTGGTGGGTTCACTGTGGTGATGGCAGTGGTGGATGGGGTTGGTGGGGCTGGAAGAAAAACAGTTTCGCGACCCATGTTAATGGTGGAGAGTAAGGAACCAAAAGGGGTTGTGGATATGGTGATTAGGGCTTCAGTGGTGAAGTTGCCTAAGCAAAACGGAAAAGATGGGTCTTTGATTGAGGGTCAAGCAACAAAAGAGGGGTACCTTCAATGACAAGAAATTCTAGCACTTCGAGCCTCCAAGGGATTGTGATTTTTTTTTTTTCACTTTCTCAACAAAAACATTTGTCATTTGAAAATATATAAATGTTTTATTTTAAGTGAGATAAATATACAATTCAATATTTTTATTTAAATTTTGAATTTTAAAAAAGAATTACTCATTTTCTCTCCCATCATTTTTATATTTGTGTCTTTCTCTCACTTGAAATAATATAATTGTATGTTTTTTAAAATGATAAACATTAAACCCATAAATAATAATAATAAGAGAATGGTTATATTTACAATCTATTTTCGTTTAGTCTTGCAATCATATTTTAATCGTTGATTTTCGTCAATCAACGGTTATTATTTATTGTGAATTAATAATTAATTAATAAATTTGATTTACGAAAATAATAATTGCTAATTGACAAAAATTAATTGTTGAGATTGATCGTGAGATATTATAAACTAAAATAGGTTGTGAATATAATCTTCATCTAACAATAATTAAGTTTTTTTTAAAAATTAAGTCTTGTTATTTCTTTTAAATTTCAAACAAACCCAAAAATAACCAGATACTTTTTTATAAAAAATAAATAAATAAATTCTTTCTAAGAGATTCTTTTAAATTACATCTCATTACTGTGAATGAATAAAGAAATCAGATTACATACGGATTCCACGTGGACTTCCATGGAAACCACATGATTGGGTTTTCCTTCTTTTACCAATTTATTGCTATCAAAATTGGAAATAAATGAATGAGATTATTTTCTTCTTCTTCTTTACTTAGTGAGGTAATTATTTGGGACCATACGGGGGCACACTTCCCATTTATGTCTATTGTTGTTATCCTCTTGTTATCCTAGTCACACCCATAATTTTATATTGCTGATTGAATTCGTTGAATATTGTATTATTAGAATAGGAAAATGTCATTTGAGCCAATGGCTCACACATGAAATTAATTGTAAACTTTTTAGTAAATATATTGATTATAATTTTTATTGTAAAATATTTAATGCTGGAGTCCAGTTTTCTATTGGGATAATTTCATTCGCAACTCATGTGGTTAGATAGCTTCATTTTCGTGGTTACATGATTTATCACTTGACTTTATATGCTTTCAAATTTATCATTTAGATCAATTGTAATTACTAAAATATATTATTTAACCCCTTGTGATTTCAAGTATCACGTATACTTATTGTGAATATAAAAATACATCATTTAAACCCTTTGTGGTCTTTTACATACATACACACGCACGCAAGTATGCACGCACGCATATATATATGAGGCAGGATCCTTTGATACCGATGTCAAATTTGAAGTTTGACACCTCATCTGAGAGCCGTTAGATTAAAAAAATCAATGGTATCACATGCTTACAAATCAGAGTCGTTGATCTTTTTTAATCAAACGGCTCTCAGATGAGGTGTCAAACTTCAAGTTTGACACCACTGTCAAAAGATCTTACCTATATATATATATATATATATATATGTGTGCGCGCGTTTCATTCATGATAAAAATTAATAACTTATTTAATTTTATATGAATTAAATTCATTAGATGATAGCATTAAAATCTTGTGATCTTATATTTTTATCATAAAAATAAATTTAAATCAAATATTATTTTATTTTATTTGATATTGTTATAATGTTTAAAATAAAATAAAATAAATAATTCATTTAACTAATACGTATTTAATTTATCTTGAATGATGTTCTTAATTTTAAATAATTTTTTATATAACTAAAAAAATTTAAGATGATTTTTAAAATAATTTTAAAATAAATAAATTTGAATATTTTTTAAATTTAATCATTAATAATTAATTTTATTAAAATTTTATTTGATAATATCATAATTATATAAAATAAAATTTAGAAATAAATAAATATTTATATTTATAAGACCATCAGTGTCTAAGTGATATATTTTTGTTACCACGGAGGGTGTAAGTACATGTTTGAAATCACATATGATTAAATGATAAATTTATTTAACCACAATAGATTAAGTGATACACCATTAAACCACGGGATGAAAATGAAGTTTTCTGTTTTTATTTTTATTTTTTGATTTTCCCTCATCTTTCACTCTTTCATAAAACTTTCGTGTGATTTGAAAAACTTAATAAGAGTTATGAATTTATTGTGTTGGAATTAAAAAAAATCGTGTTTTGTTCAGAATTTACACTTTCATTTGATAATTTTTTTTTACATATTATATATATTTTTATCATTCAAACAATGTTTTGTTCTTTAGAAGTTCTTGATTTTAATATTAATAAAACTTTTTTAAATAGGTGGGATCAAAATAAAATTTAAAAAAAGAGTGATAAACCCAGTGGGTGGAGCAAGGGAAAAAAATTCAGGTAATGGCAAAAGATTCGATCAGTAGTGTTAAAGGTTGTATTGTTTTTAAAAATTCAATTAATATTAAGGTTGTATTATAAATTTTTTTTAAAAATCTATATCATTTTAAAAAATTAGGTGGTGCCTTACCTACCTCCCAATTGGTAGACCATAAAAACTTTTCTCCTGTCATTGCAATTTTTTTTTATCTTGCAGCAAAGACACTATCAGAGAGAAAAGTGAAAGAGGTGAGAGTAAAAAATAATAATTAAGGGAGCGTTTGGTACAGGAGAAAAAAAATTTCATCGAGAAAATAATTTTGTTGGAATGTAGTGGGAAATATTTTTTTTCGGATAAGTTACAAAAATGTGTTTGGTTGACCAAAATTTGTTTCAAAAATATTTGGATAAGTTTCTAAACTGATGTTTGGTTGATTGTGAAATAGTAGTAGGAATGTGGAGTTATTTTATAAAAATAATCCCAACTTTACATATAGTACACAAAAAAACAGGGTTAATTTTATCCAGATTATTTTGCTACTTTTTTACTTCCCAGGCAAAAAAATATACCAACTTATCGATGGAGTAATTTACAATGTGTTTGTACTAGAGTTTACGCGTTAACTACAAAAAATGGGCAAAAGTGTTACCCAAAAAAGTGTAACTTTTATTGCTACCAAACGTGAATATCAAATTCTTCCTGCCCAGTTTTTCTAAGAAAACAAAAAGAATCTTAGTACTAAAAGTCCCCTAAATAGGGGTGTAAATGGGCTGGGTTGGGCCTGGCTTTAGCCTTCCTGGCCCAAGCCTACGTTAAAAAAAATGCAGCCTATCTGGCCTACTGGCCTATTAAAGGCTTTATTTGTAGGCCAAGCCCGGTCTATTTTTAAAAATAAGAAAGTCTGACATGGCCTACAGGCCTTGTAGGCCTCTCTCATTATAGATACTAAGCAAAAAAAATAATTGTATAGAGCAAAGAAAGATCCATTCATGCATGCACTAGTACTTCTCATAAGAAAAAAATGACAAACAAGAAAGAGTCAACATAATACCCCAATTCTAGAATGTATATCATATAGAGGAATAGAGTCAAAGAAATAGGAAAAATAAGAAAAATACAAAGGTACCCATTGCTCGATGGTATTAAGTTGTAACAGCATGTAAAATTTGGAGATATTAGACAAGTTTTCCTTTCATAAAATAAAATAGAACAAAAAGTAAGAGATATTGGTATTTGGTACTTTGCATCTTTGCCACATAAAATAAATATTATTTTATTATTTTATTTTAATAAATTAAATAAGCTAGCCTACAAGACTGTAGGCTGGGCTTGACAAAATTGGTCTATGACCTATTTGTTAAAAAAGCTTTTTTATAAGCCTAAGCCTACTCTATTTTTCTAAAAGGCTAGGCTTGGGCCGAGCTCAATGTAGACCGAGTCCTAGACTGGACTGGGCCAGCCTGGCCTATTTACACCCCCACCCCTAAAGATAGGATTCATGAGCTTGTGTGCTCAGAAAGTAGGAAGTGTACTTCTCCCATAAAAGGAGAAGTATAAAGTCCAAATTTTATATGATAAAATCATATAAAATTTAAACATGAGATAATTCATTTCACAAAATATATATTCATTTTTTACGTGGTTGGGTAAATACATGAATCATATATTTTTGTTATTAAAATTTATTATAACTTTTTATAATAGTTCAATTGACGACACAGTCTGAATAAGTAGAGAGAGAATCTGAGTTAGATTTACATAAAATACATTTCTTTAAGGAGGGACAAAAATTTAACTGTGATTAAGCTCTAACTCAAGATTAATCTGATAGCCAACTTAAAGAATTGAAACTTACGAAAATATCTAGAGGCCTACTCGTATCAAAGAAATAATTAGAATCGATATATAAAAAAAACATATATGTATATATAAGCATGTTTAATTATTATTTACTCAGTTATATACATCACAACAACTTTGCCAAATATTTAAGAAAATACATGTTCTAGTTGTATGCCTCTGTATGTTAGGCCACCCTTCTCGTTTAATCTTATTTTATCTAATTTTTGTAATAGAATACAGGCAAAATAATGTAGGTAGAACTTAACCTTAAAATTAAAATTTCCGACGAGACATAATTTGACATACGGTTCTAGAGCAAGTAGCCATTTAATATTTACATCATAATTTTTAATTCAATTAAGCAGATAAGATAAATACTTGTCGCTCCAACAATTATTTAATCATTTTGTAATTTGATATGCTAGCAATAAATGTGATTTCTATGAATTAATGTCTTTCTAAAAGTTGCCAAACACGAGTACTATGCATAACATTGTTTAAGCAAAATATACTAGGACAAATTATGCCCAATTATCACTCGTTTTACCCATTTTAGTAAAAAATTTCAATCATCCTCCTTCAAGCCTTGACATTTGTCTATCCAAATACCAATTTGTACAATGATGTTAATAGCTACAAAAAAAAGTTAGTTTTTTTTTCTTCAGTGAATAGAAATAAATTATTCAAATTAAGTGTAAAACAACATTATTTTGAAGCATAAATCAAAATATTTTTATAAGTATAATTTATTTCAAGGTTATAACAGTCTTTATTATTA